GATGGATGCACAGATGGATATAAAGAATGATGGCTGGATGGAGGGATTACTGACCAGTTGTTCCCCAGAGAGGACCTCCAGCAGTCGGATAAGCATACGTCCATCGCGGAGGTCAGTGTAGAGGTCACCAATCCTGCAGGTCACACGGCCCAGGTGAGAGTTCACCCATTTTGTAAAGGTCTTCTTCTGCACTGCTTCTCTCTCATCTGAAAGAAAAAAGTAAAAGTAGTTTTAAAGGTCAAACACAAATCTGTAACATTCACCTATGGTTCACTGAAGCCCAAGCACAAACACCAATTTGAACACAGATTAGCATTCATAAACCACAAAAGCCTGTGAATGCATATCAAAAATAATCTAAAATTACACATGTAAAAAAACATGAGGTCTCTAAAAACAAGACTCCGTTAATTTTCCTGCTACACACCATGTCAGAACCTGTATTTTACAACTCTGCATAAAATTAACATTCATGAATGACATGCAGTGACCAAGGACTGACTGTAACTCTAAACTCTATTAAAACAACTCAATTACTGCAGTGCACTGACAGCTTGCCTGATGGCTGCCCACATTAATCAGTGCAGACCTCACTCACAGCCAGCCAATTACATGACGGAAGGGGCGGGACTCCCCAGCAAAAAGCACTGTGAGAACAATGTTTCTTATGGTAAAAAAAAAAAATTTACACATAAACGAGTTAAGATTGATCAATGAATGATGAAGACAGACAGATAGAAAAAGACCAAGACAGGGAGGAAAAGAACAGGAACGCTTGATATGACTGCAGACAGATGAGTGTCTACTGAGTAAAGAATAGCGCAGTATTAGCATCGCAGGAACTCGTGGAAAAAAAAGCATATGGGGCTGGTCAATAAAAGGCTCAACCCACTGCTGTCATCTGAATGACCTTTAATGAGGAAGAGCAAGCTGTTTTACTAAATGCTGCCCCTCACTACCACCTATACTCAGAAAGACTGAGCAAGAGCTGCGTGCTGTGTCACGTGCACTAATACGAGAAGATAATTCCTGTAACAAGTTTAAATGAAGCATGGTAATTTAATTGCTGATAAGAAAAATGTCATGAGCACAAAACGCCTCAGTCATTAAACAAACACATTCCTCGTAAATGCTGAAAGCAAGCACACAAAATAACGCACAATAGCAGCGAGAGGCAACACAAGGTCAGCCTCAGAGACATCTGGTCACAGATCTTCTCTCACGCACAAGCCCACACGGTCTTCCATTAGGGCTGAGCTTGTTATTTCACAGGGAATTGGATCAAACAGTACCAAACAGAAACACCTGTACATCTACGACTGAAAACCTCAGAGTAATTGACTTTCACACTGCTAAAAAAGTAGTTAAAAAGCAAAGGACACACGATTTGAAAAGTGTGTTTGTGTGTGTCTGCAGAGGCCTGATCCTGGTCAGACAGTGGTCAGATGCAAATGGGTGAATCTCACAAGATCATGCAGGTCACAAATTATTTTTAGAAATTAGTTCTGTAAATAAATATTAATTAAATCAACATAGATTTCTTGACAAAATTGCAATTTCATATGATATATTTTTAATAAAATTATACAACAAACAAAATTATACTTTGATATAGATAAGCGGGACCAGATAGTAAAAGAAAAGCAGGCAAAAAGTGCATATAAACAGAACACCTTTGAGACCGTTCACACCCAGATGGATTGACAAATAAATTAAGAGGAAGCTGAGAGTGTAATCTAGCTTTAATCTGGCCCAGTGATTCTCAACTGGTGATTTGGGAGATAAACAAGCTATGAGTACCAAACCATATACTGGCCAACATGGACATGCTGTGTGACATTTCCTCATCCTCATCAACCATGAACAAAACTATACAGCGTCAACCCAGACTACATTACACACTAGTTACATCTGGTACTTAGCCTAGCTGTGTGTGTGCCTTTGTGTATGTGTATATGTATCTTGTGTTTCAGCATTTTGTTAATAATAATAATAATAATAATATACATACATACAATTCTAGAGCCACAATAGGGGCTTTTGCACCATGTAGTTCTAGGAACTAGCCAGCAGAGTAGTTCCTAGAGAACAAATTTCGCCCTCGGGCCGTTTTCCTGGTTGTATTTGAACTGCAGCAGGAACTCTGAAGCGGCCGACAGCGATGTCTTTTTATAACGGAGATGGAGATGTAAACGGACAATTTACGTGATTGCAAGAGCAAAAGGTTGGGCTAAGAGACAAATTTTTTATGACAACTTACAGTGTTGCATATCATCGAACACTGCAGACAACAGTTAAATGCGGTTTTCGCCATTTTCCAAGTTCGTGGAGTAAATATGTTTACATGGCTCTTTAAAAATGCCGGGTGGCCAGTGTTTCGCGTGCGTTTGGCCAATCAGTGTACACTCACGTCACTGATAGTTCCTATAGAACTGTTTTAGACCCTACTCTAAAGTAGGAGCTAATTTAGTACCTCCAAACGGAGTTCCTAGAACTAAAACCGTTCCTAGTTACTGCGGTGCGAACACACCAAAAAGTGGGTAGTTCCACAATTAGTTCAGGTACTATGAAAAGGTTCCCGCAGTGCAAAAGGCCCTATAATTAATTGTGGTTCATTTTATATAGACATTAAATACATACCCAGTTTTTATTAATAAAGAGTGTGAAACTAAGCAGCTTTGTCATCATAATTACGGCATTAATACATTATTAGGCTATATTTGGGGCGCTATTTGTTGTATGTGAAAAATGTTAAAAACCTGTTATCTCATGGTTTAGATGGGTTTCGCAAATCCAGACAGAGTACAGGGTAAAATTATATTAGTTACATTACACGAGGCTATAGTAATCTTGATCTACAGTCAAAAGAATTTAGAATAGAGAACAGGGCTTGGTCCTTTTGCTTCCACTGATATGATCACACTCTCACTCACCTACAAATTCATTCAGGGAAATGCTCCACACACCAGCTGAGCAAACCTGTTCTGCCCGTCACCATCACTGAGAGGAGGGACAGTGCTTTCAAGCACACAAACACTCTTATATGCACATGATCGCAGAAAATGCTCCGCTTTACTGGTTTGGATGTAGAGACCTGAACTAGCTTGAGCAGGGCTGGAGTAGGGGTGACTTTGATTAGACGTCTGGACAATCTCACCCTCTGGCCAGTTTGTGAAAACATCTATTACTCTGCAAAAATTTGTGAAAACATCTATTACTTTGCAAAAATAAGCAGTTCATATTGCAGCATATTTTTGAGTTTTTCCTTGTTGGGAATTGTTGGCTGCTCATGAGTAATAAGAAAAACACTATGTACACCTGTGGATATAGTGCACAGTATTGAAGAACGATCTATTCAAATGTGAATGATTTGTGTGATCAAATATTGGAATTCTATTTCGGAATATAACTGTCAGTAGTAACTCACACCAACACACTACATGAGGTGTCCAAGGGCATTGTGCTTTAAGAGAATAAATATTTAGCTTTTACCAAATAAAAGGAATTTGTGTGTTGACCAAACAGGTCCAAAACTGCAGTGAAGGGTCAGTGTGTGTGTGTTATCAGAGTTGTGGTGATCTAGTGCGTTAGCCTTGATCCGTTTAGAAATGAGGAGACCTTGAGCATTCCACACCGAGGAGGAGGAGGAGGACACACACACACAGGAAGCAGAAGAGAGTCTGAGGACTCTGACCTGCTTTACAATGCAAATTGGAACGAGAGGGTACAGCAGTCATTTGACCATTAAGATGGACAGTCAATATGAACAGATAATCAGTACATACCTGCTATTCAAATGGATTCACACACATGTATCCGTCTGCTTTCCCCATTCCACATAATAGACCTCATAGTTACAGAAAAGGCCAGTGTACACTAGGCATGGGCCGATTACCGGTTTCAAGGTATACCGCGATTTGAAAAAGTTCACGGTTTCAAAACTGCTAATATTTTCCGTTATACCGTTCCTGCGGTATGCTCTGTTTTTCATGTCTCCTCAGAGACTGAAAGTGTAGGAATCCCTCAGGTTGAGTGCAGTGTAGAGAGTAACACAACACTCCTCCTCCTGTTGGTGTGAGCGAGCGGTCAGTCACGTGTGTGTAGGATGGCCGAACTTAAGGAGCTTCCCCTGGAACTTACGCGATCGGCAACCGGCCGTTTTTTGTCTTATTGCAAGCAACTCGTCTCTGTTCTGGACTTGCACAAACTGTGTTGCAATGCAATAGTTTTCCAAAATGTCATTTATGTGAAAATATGAAGTCTGTAAACGCCCCTTAACACAGTCCAGAGACGCTGAAGACGGACGCACAAAGAAAAATACTGTAGCAGGCAGATCACTCACTGTTCATGATGCACAAACTATTGGAAGAAAATCCTCAATATTGATTTGGAGGCTTATATGAATGTGTTTCTGAGGGGAACGGACTGTCTTCAGAAAAGTTTTCGTGGTATTTTCTTTTCATCTCGTCTCTGTATAGTTCATATTAAAGCAGTGTTTCAGCACAGTGCTGCTTTGTTTACAGCAGTAACCAAGGAAACGCTGTATCTGGTGTTCCAGAAGCGCCTCCTGCTGTCAGAGAGTGAATCTGCATCTCATTCAGAGCATCTGCTGTTTGCTTCGTTCAGGCATGTAGTATCATTTCATAAAGCTAGACAAAACATTGTTTTTGCTTCAAATTGAGTTATTATTAAATCAAATTATGTATATGAATTATATAACTAAAATGAAATAACTAATTAATTACATATTTAGGTTAAATAAAGTTGTCAGTCTTTATTTTTCTTCTTTTTAGGAAACAAATCAAAGAAAAAGTAAACTAATTCTACTATTCCTAATATTCTGTGTTGCTTAAAAACAAAATATATTGTGTTCAGCGGATTTTTTTTTTTTTACTCAGTCATTTAAAAATAACACATTTTAGAGCTGTAACGACAATACCGTGATATTTTTGCTTAAGGTTATCATACCTTCAAAATCTCATACCGGCCCATGCCTAGTGTACACATATGACCTACGTTACACAATGTACAATCTCTGATTTATATTAGGTGGAGGTAATGAGACGTGATCTGACAGTACAGGGCTGTTCTCAATACATCGTAACCTTCTGGGTGGTTCCTCCAGCCTGTGCTGAAGGTCAGGACCATTTTACTACAACTTTTCTTAAAAGTTTGTCAGCCTATGTGGTTTTGAAGAACCTTTCAG